AAGTATTTTAAATTTGAGTGGAATAACTTTTTATGATCATAACCACATTGCCTACAGATTATTAAGCATTAGTACAGCAGTAGTTTATAGTCATTTTTGCCCAAAAAATTACATTTAAAAGTGTCATCGTGTATTCGTGTATTAAATTATAATAATATACTCTGAGGGCCGTTCTTACAATGTCCGGTAAAGTGTCGGTTAACGCTAACCGACTAATAACAGATTTTATTATACCTGCAGGATTATACGGGTTATGTGTAGGTTAAATTTAACCGGACATTGTAAGAACGGCCTTAAAAGTTTTATAAATCCACAAACACCTACTATTTTTAAATTACAACAAAATAACTAAAATCGTTATTCTTTGTTCTAATAAGTAATTTCGTCCAAATTCGAACTTATAATGTCTGTAAAAATTGACCGTGTTTTTAATAGATTTAGTTTTTTTTTGTTAGAGTATGAACACTCACTATGAACTATTTTTGAGAATTCTTGTTTTACATTTTCCATCCTTAGCAATAAAAGTTGAACATTTTATAAATTTTACTACTAAATAGTTATTTGTAAACTATCAATTTGATAAATTTTGTTAAAAATTGAACTTTAATTTCTTAAAAAAATGGATCTTTATTGTTTCTCAATTGCTATTATAACTGCTCATGAGTAAACTTTTATTACATTTTCATATTATAGATAAACAATTAAGAAATGTTTGTATGAATATCTGACTACAAAATATTTTGAAAATTGTCAAGATTATGATGAATTTTGTAGAAATTTGAATTTTAAATGCCCGTAAAAAAAACGTGCCTATATATTTCTAATATTTTTTAACTGCTATATTATATCAACTTACGATTAACTTTGTATTATTTTTAAGCTTTTTGACCCAACGAATAAAATTCATAGAATACAGAACTAAAAACATTTCATAATTCAAATGTCTATAAATCACTGAAAACGAGTCGAAATATTTAGAACATTATATAATGTATATTATGATAGTTTAAACATTTGATGGACATTTTAAATACCGACGGTTAATAGTTGTTGAATAACTACAAAATAAGAAAATAGTTATACGAGAATCATATACAAATCATTGTAAAATCAAAATATTCATTGCTCCAGTAGTCCACTCTAAAATACAAGCTAACACACAAGCCCGGATTAAGGGGGGGGGGGGGTGAAAGGGTAGCACGGTAACGGGGCCCATTGATTTTGGGGGCCCATCTTTATCCCAAAAATATATTTTTTTAATGCTTCCAATACATTTCAAAAAATATATATATATTGAAGTAGGTATAGGTATAGGTAGTAGATAAATTATTATTACTTAATAAATAATAATTATAAAATAAAATTGTTCTCAATTTTATATCATGAAAAATTAATATAATTAATAATGAACTGTGTTGGTAAACACAATTTTCATTATGTTTTTTTTTTCTGAGTATTTTCGATTACTGATTTAACTATTAAGTACATAGGTAGTTATAAGAAAAAAATATTTAGCTCTTGTAAATTAGGTATTTCAGTTAAAAGTAGTAACGCATATTGTACTAAACTTTCGAGGACCATAGTTAATAAGTAATATATTACATATTTCCATATAATATATATATATATAATGTATTTTATTAAATTGTTGTAAAAAAAGGCTAAAAGGCTGAAATCTAAATTATAATTTGTTTATTTTATTATAATGGTTGACTTTTTATTAGGAATAAATGGAAGTGTTCTCTAAATTAGTGGAAGCATAAATGTAATAAGAGGAAAATATACATTTTGGCTTATCAATTATCACTTTTAAATGGCTTGAAACCGATTGAAAAGAATTTCTGTTTTGGTTTCGATTTATACACCGGTTTCCATTTTTTTTCGGTTTTGGTTTTGGATTTAATACCGATTTCCAATTTTTTCCGATTTTGTTTTTGATTTTGTCATTGGTTTCAGTTTTTAAACGGTTTATACTGGTTTCTAAAATCGGTTTCAATACCTGGCCTATTTACGTTCATTCTTAGTTTATTAATTTTTTTGAATCGCTGGATCGAGCGTCCGATCGCTCGTGTAAAGTAAACTTTCAAAAATGTCAAGATACAAAGATTTTCAAAAAAAAAATACCGTTTTTTAAATTATATTTTCGGTTTTTAATTATTATATAGGTATCCAATTTTTTTCGAGTCGGTATTGAATTTAATACCGGTTAAAGTAAATTTTAAATTTAAGGTGGCTTAAAAGTTTTTTGTGATAATGAATAAAAAGAAACTGAGAAAAAAGGGGCGCCAAAATCGTAAATACGCCACTGGTACTATGACGTAAGATTCACTCTGTATATTTTTTGCATAGTAAAAAATTATACAATAATATTAAGTCGTTAATATGTAATAATACAATTATTTTGAAGTTAAAGTTGAAAGGGGGCCCACTAAGTGTATGGTATCTCGAGGCTCAATTGATCCTTAATCTGGGCTTGCTAACACATAATAGTTAGGTAGGTGTAATACAAATTAAACATTATAGTTATAAAATATAATATCCGTGACGCTTAGGTCATAAGAATATTGTTGAACATTTTACTGCAGGCTGCGTGTTATTTCAGAAATGGTATTTAATTCGTCAGTGAAGATTTGTTAGCTGGGAATAAAATATAGCATAAGCAGACTGAAATGAGAAGACTTTGCAGTGTTTCGAAGACCAAGTTTTATAGCAGATTTTGATTCACCACGGACACGGGGTATGTAATTTCTTATTTTTCAGTATGTTTCTTTTTATTTTTGTTAAGTGATCAGGGGATATATTATTGCCTACAACTTTTCAATTATTTGTATTGTAACTATACTGGTAGGTATAACATTATTCTGGCAGTTGCTCCAGACGGCAGGGACGGCCAAATAATTAAGGGTGGCAAAAAAATGTCGTTTGTAATATAATAAAAATAAAATATTTAGTAGAAAAAATATTAATTTTTTTTTTTACGAATTTGCGATGTCAATTGTCGGAATATTTAAAATCGTAATGGAATCTAATATTAGAACTATTAGGTCTACTTATTGGAAGAGAACGCTGTTTGTGGACCTTGTTTTCGTAATAACCTAATACCTACGTACTAATCGAACTTTTTTTTTTTATTATCACTATTCACTAAATATATTGACATGTAATAGCCGCCGGGGCACCGAACTGCCAGAATTATACGATATTGCCACCTACCATTATATTGCAGTACTGACTACTGAGACAATGTAGCTTGTTATTCGAATATAATATCTATTATATTCTTATCTATTTGTATCTATACTATTTATTTATACAAGAAATAACGAAAGTTTTGAACTTGGTCAATTTTTAGGATAATGTTAGTGTTATATAATATTTAAATTTTAGACATAGTACCTATACCTATTTCCTTAGTCGTTTATCATTACAATAATTCATAGGTATAGGTATAGAATATACCATATAAGAGACATGCGTTTGAAATTAATAATGAAACGTAGACATATTGTGTATGTAATAATTTATTAATTTGTATAAATTGTATCTGGTTCATGTGTTTAAATATATTGTAAAATACAATACCTGCCTAAGTGTAGCATGATTAGATAACTAATGAGTAGATAAGCATATAGTTTTTTTGTAAGTATATATTGTATAATGTTTGTTATAGAGCGTAGCGATACATTTTTTTTTTTTTGGTTATTTAGTTGTAAAAAAAAGGCGTATACTGAATTAGGGGTCATATTTATGTTTGCTTCCCCATAAATTGTCCCTTGATACAGCCCTGTGACACTAACTCGTGTAAACAATTTGAAGCACATATAAGCAATCAACGAGTCTCTGACGTTTTTATTGATACATACCAATTCGCATCGATAAATATGAGACATTTCTCTTCTCACATCTATGCCATTAATATGTGCTCAAAATTATCGGGAGGTGGACCCATTCATAGTATATGATGCAAAGTTGACACAATAAGACTGTGATCACAACTTGGAAGTACGATTGGATGTTGATTGTAAAAGTAATAAGTAGCTATTAATGATTTAATACATATTTAATTAATGATTTATCTGCATGTATTCTCCCGTCTTGCAAGTAGGTATCAATTTCACCGGATCTTAATTAAATTTTTTAATGTAATCTTTTTTATCTTTGTTAGTTTTAATATTAGAGTGATTAATATTTTTTAAAACTTTTGATGCCTATAATGATAACTACTGAACGGGCTACTGAATGAAAAAGTGATATCTTTCACACTTGTAAGACACACTTGTAGGCAACACATGCAGATGAAAGGTTTTTTTAAAAAAAACAATTTTAATGATTTTTTTTAGCTTCATGTTTTTAAAAATACTCGGATAATGTCGAGCTTTGGAGCAACTTTAGAACGTATTCAATTAATTTTATTAGTTATTGAAACATGATATGGAGGGTAGTCCTTTTGGTCATCCAGTGAAATATTTCAATTCATAATATTAAATCCCAGCCCTGTCAGCTGTCCCCCATACTCTGATTTTAAAAGCCCAGGCCACATAAGCGCAACTGGGAGGGCTGGGGAGGGGCTTAGCTTAGGTCCCTTAATACGGCCCTGTACCTAGTCGTGCCATAAGTTCTGTCCCTTATACAAAAAAATAAATATAAAACAAATATAAAAAAATTAATTTAAATTTATTAAAATTAAATTTATTTATTAATTTTAGTTCCCTTATAAAACAAATATAAAAAAACTGATGCTATTTATTCTTTATTAACTTAGTAACTAAAAAAAATAAATACTATTCAAAATGTCCACCATTTGCATTTATACACTTCTTCAAACGATCTGGCCACTCGTCTATGACAGCACGCACCACTTCTAACGGTATTTAGGCAGCTGATTTTACCAAATCGGCTTTTAATGATTCAATATTTTGATGGGGCTTAGAGCAGGCCTTCTCCTCTAAAATATTCCACAGTCTTTAGTCCAAAGGATTGAGGTCTGGACTTCCCGAGGGTCAATCTTGAGCGGCGATAAATTCAGGTAAATTGACCTCTAACCAGCGTTGTGTGGTTTTTGCTTTATGTGCAGGCGCTGAATCCTGCTGAAAGGTCCAGTTCTTTCCTACAAACAAAGTATCACTTAAAGGCTTCACTACCTTTTCTAAAATATCATTTTGGTAGTTAACCGCACGTGATTTGACTCCCTGCTCACAGAAATGCAGTTGAGTAACACCCTCATATGACACTCCCCACCAAACCATCACTGAGGCTGGATGATGTCCTCATTCTACTCTTTGAATTTTTTCAGCAGCTTCCCGAGAGCTGTGAGCATAAACTCTATCATTTTGACGGTTAAATATTTCTTCTACAGTAAAAATTTTTTCATCTGTAAACATTATCTGTCTGTGGCCATTTTTTGAGTACCGCTTAAGTAACTTCTTCGCTCTTGTCATTCTAATTTGACGTAAAGCGTCTGTCAACCGCTGACCGGTGCTTCTTCGATAAGCACCAAGACCAAGGTCTTCTTTAATTATGCGTGACATGGTTCTTGGTGGAATTTTCATTTCTCCATGATTTTTTGCTTGCGAAGTGGATTTCTGCGAATCCTCTGTGCGACAGCTTTGACTGTTGCATTTGTTCTTATTTCACATGTACGTCCACTTCTTGGCTTGTTATCTATAGTGTTGAACTCGTTGAACCGTTTTATGGTCCGATAAACAAATTTTTTCGTTATTTTCAACAGTTTCAATAAGTTGAAAATCTCTAATGGTGTTTTATTACACTTAAATAACGCAATAACAGCAATACGATTTTCTTTAATACCCCATTCCATGTTTAATACGTGACGTGAACTATCGTACTAACCAAAAATAGTAGATATTACAATTGTTGAAAATTATATTCATAAACAAAGTCATTAGTGTTATCGTAAAATATTAATGGAAAAACTGATAAATAGGGACAGAACTTATGGCACGACTAGGTATATCTATGGTCAGCGCATTATTTGCTTTCCATCTTTGATCCACACGTAGCATACCTAATGTACAAATAACAGAACCAAAACGAAGTTGTTACTTTTAATGTTAGATTAAAAATATTAAGTTAAGAAGATTACATACGTCGTTACTTTGGTTACTTGATGATATTTTAATTATTATTTAAGTTATGACTTATGATCGTCTAAATAATTACAATTTAAAAATGATTATAAACGATTAGACAAATCTAAAGAAAAAAAAATATAATTAATCTACTAAAAAATAAAAATATCTATATATTCATTATTAATACTTAAAGTATAACAATATTTGCAATACAAAAAAAATAAATGAAAACTAAAATGTTATCCCAGGAAAAAATTAATTCAACAGTGAAAGGGTTAAAATATTCAAGTTTGATAATAGGTTAATTCAATCTAATATTAAAAGTAACAACACTATAACGCAGTGATTTCTAGCGTACGGGTAAGGCGATCATTATTAGCCGAAAAATAAAATAGTTCATTAACATTTTTTAAACTTATCAGTTTTCGTTATATAGTCACTAATCATATAAGTAACTAATTTTCGTTTTTAATAATATTTAAATTATATACAAGAATAATTTAATAATATAATATTATAAGATTTTTTACAATTATATAATATATTCAACATAAACAAATTCTATTAATTCTATTAATTCATTAAAACAAGTGTTAAATATTACACATGTATGCACTAAAAAGAAGCAAAATATGATTTAAAATATGCACTTAAAATTCGAAAAAATACTGAATGAAAACGCGTTTATTAAAAACTGTTTAAATTAATAAATAATAATTAAAATTGGTATACCAAAAAAAATTCTTTATTATACACTTGGTAGGTAGGTACCTATTTAGTTTTCTATTGAATGGACCTAAAATATAAAAAAAATTTAAGCATATTGGCAACGGTGTTGTAATAATAGTGATGTCCCAGAAAAACACGTACTAATAGTTCAAACAAATAATTAAAACCAACTTGATTAAATATTAATTTATGAAAAAGTATATTAAAAAGCATTGTTATTATAAATGAAACAAATCTATGAACTATAATGGACCTTATCTTAGTGCGCCCCGTGCCTCACTGAACATAATATAGGTATTTCTATACTTTTAGCTCCATAATTTCTGTTAAAATATTAGGAAAATGTATTGAGTACCTTAAAAGTGCTAAATTTGATCTTTTACTTACAATATATTCATAACAAATTATCATAGAAGGTTAGGTAGGTACTGTATTCCACATACTTATATAGTTTAATTTAACTAATACATTCTAGTAGTTTCTGAAAAAATTTGTTTCCAATACTCTGATCAGTCTGATTCTGGTTTATGGTTTCCTAAGTGATAGTTCAGGATGTCTTGCCATGAAGCATCTGTACCAATCATACCCAGCAATTTCTTTTTTTTTTGTGAAAAATTGTTTTTCTTATTGTTTTTGACAGCAAGCTGATATGCAATCTTTCGTAAATCTATTGACGTTAGTTCAAATAAACCTCCTTCCATAAGTTGAAGATAGGCTACCAGCTCAGTTTCTTCAGCAGTTGAAAACACTTTAGATATTGGTCCTAATGCCACTTTGTTCCCAGTGTCATAACTAGGATCTAAGTTCTTTTGTTTAATCTAAACAACATTTAATTTACATATAAGTAAGTAGGTATACTAAATAAAATATAGATAAGTAAATAATATAGTAAGATTGTATCTAACCTTTCTTTCTAGAGTGCTTTTAGGTACATTAAATTCAATACAGGCATTACGAAATGTCATTCGTTTTTCAATTACTTCTTTCACAGCCTTCCTCATATTTTCTGAATCCCAATTTTGGCGTTTAGAAACTCTGACTCTTGAACGAGGCATTTCTAAAAACTAAATTATTTGAAAATTCATTAAAACACAAATAATAAATTGTAAAACTTGCTTTAAAATAATAATAAATTTAAATATTATAGATATTATTTATGTTAATATAATATAATATCATAAATGTAGTTAGCTATATAATTTAAATGGCTTATATTTGTTCAAGAGCATGATTATTAAATAGAATAGAATAATTAAATTAAATGTATTACCTATATTATTATATTTGAAAAAATGAATTGAGATAAGATGGGACATGTCTTCATCTTGCCCCATTGCATTTTTACCGTCTTACCTCAAACAGTAATAATTTAACTTAACGTTTCTATAAAACTTACAATCAGAATGAATTCTACCAAATTTGCATTAATCGAAAACTAATAATATTTTTTAAAAATTATATAGGAGTAATATTAAGAATAGACAATTATTTACTTACTTATTCACTATTTGATGTCTGCAAAATTTTACATTGCCTATGGCCGTTATATTGAATATGCACGTGCACCGTATCACTTTAATTATTTGTTGATATCAAATAATATTATTAAAGTGTGACCAACATAGCACATCTTTTGTAAAAAAGAATTTTCCCAACAATCAATAGTGTTCGAGATACAACGATGTCCCATCGGCCATCTTACCTCTAGTCCTCGCCTTACCCAGGTTTCCCTATAAAATACTTTTATTGTAATAATTGTTCAAATGTTTATTATAGTACATTATTAAAAATTAACTAAAGTTTAATATAATACATTATAACAAGTATTCAAATGTACAAGTCATACCACATATTTTGTTACTTCACATAGTCTCTCTTTAATTTCAAATTTTTCTTCAAATATCCCAAATTATCTATAAAATATAAATGTAAAATGTAAATTGGAAGACTTGATTGAGTAGGTACCTATTTAATAATTTATCGAAAAGAGATGGGCCTGGTCGCCTCATTACTATAACGAGGGGCCATGGTGCAAGTGCTGTCCATAAATATAAGCAAATATTTAATAATTTATCTAAAAGAGATGGGCCTGGTCGCCTCATTACTATATCGAGGGGCCATGGTGCAAGTGCTGTCCATAAATATCAGCAAATATTTAATAATTTATCTAAAAGAGATGGGCCTGGTCGCCTCATTACTATAACGAGGGGCCATGGTGCAAGTGCTGTCCATAAATATAAGCAAATATTTAATAATTTATCTAAAAGAGATGGGCCTGGTCGCCTCATTACTATATCGAGGGGCCATGGTGCAAGTGCTGTCCATAAATATCAGCAAATATTTAATAATTTATCTAAAAGAGATGGGCCTGGTCGCCTCATTACTATATCGAGGGGCCATGGTGCAAGTGCTGTCCATAAATATCAGCAAATATTTAATAATTTATCTAAAAGAGATGGGCCTGGTCGCCTCATTAGGTATATCAAGGGGCCATGGTGCAAGTGCTGTCCATAAATATCAACACATATTACATTAGAAATACAAAATTAATGTAACAGTAAATTATAAAAAAAATATTACAAAATGTACTATACTCATATTATATTATGATTGTATTAGTTACAAACTCTTAAATTAAGATTACGATTGAGGATTTAATTAAAAGAAAATGCCTCAAGGTTGCCTCTGTAGGTCGAGGAACCATAGTTAAAGTGCTGTCCACCAAAGTACCAGAAAAAAAAGAAGATTAAATAAAAAAATAGAAGGTACCTACATCATAAACTTTTCTAAAAGCATGATTGTGTTAGTCACAGTCTTGTCTAAATGGTATTGTCTTATGTTTTCCCAATCTAACTATACACATTACTGAACATTAATGAAATCACAAATATTTATACAAAAGAGAGACTGTGCCTTGATTTACAAATATTTCTTAAATTTACTTTTTGCATAGAGAATATGAACATAGGAGTTTAAGTTCGGGGCGTGCCCGTGGAAAATTTAAATTATACATTACACACATATAGACAGAGTATAGTATAGATATTATAACAAATTATAATTATATTATAACAAAACAATTTTGCAATTGTTATAGGTAACATAATATTATACATTTTATAATTTAATAATAAAATTATTTTTTTAGAAAAAACTAACCAAAAAAATGGGTAGGTACTATAATTATAGTTTATAACACTAAAACTTTTTATTAAAAATTTAATTTTGAGTTGTTAGTTAAGGTACAATATTGAATTTATAAAATAGCTCAGAATTTAAAATATAATATTATATAAACAATTTTAATTATGAAAGACAAACATTTACCTTCTTATATTATTTCATTTGAGTAACATTCGTTTAAATCTAAAAAAAAAAATTACAATTTATCTGTTAAGTTTATTTAAAGTTTAATAAAAAAAGTACAACTTATATACAAAAACAAGTAAGCATTATTGCATTAAAAAACTTGTAAAGTGGTAAACAGCTTACCTGAACTACACATCGATTTTTTTGGAAAAAAATCTGTTATTTGCTGACCGGCTCTTTTATTTGAATTCATTTTTAATCTAAGGCAGTTTACTGTTTCGCATTAGCTTTCAACTGTGAACGCAAAAGGCAAAAATACGAATAAGTACCAGATATCAGTAATTACTACATGAGTCGTGACAACAGTCTTGGAATATTATATTTTTGTTTTGACTTTTGACGATAGTGATTCTAATATTCTATGGTTGTTTTAATTTGTTTATCATATTCTATAAATAAAAATAACTTAAGTAGGTAATTGAGTTATCTCAATTCATGTAATTCTGTTGTAATCACGGATATAGATACCCCATAGTACGAGATTTGCAGTGTAGCCCTTTCAAAAGTTAAAAATATTTAACCATATTTTTTTTATGTATTGTTGTCATGGTTGAGGATGACTTGGTGATACCCCAGTTCTCCTGTACTGATAAGCATGTTTGAGACATAGGGCGCTTCGGCCCTTGAAAAATCTCGGGGCGTTTCTGGGCACGCCCGTTACGTCCTGTGCGCACGCCTATGAATATGAAGGTGGCCTGGCAGTGGCGCAACTAGCACAAAATCTTAGGGTGGGCTATAGCCCTACCTCAATATTATACCAAAAGTAACCCGTGGGGTCCTATGCCCCCCACACCCCCCGATCAATCATCTTAAAATTTTTAAGCACCATTAATATCAACATTTATATTTAATTATATATTTTATTTATATGCATTGTAAAATAGTTATTGACATAATATTATATATTTATATAAGATTCATTTTTCTTTTGTTGATGACTGTGAATTGTTTCATATAGAAAGATCGAAATACAGCTAAATTTTTAAAGGTTTATTAATATTTTAGAAATCAATTAAATAATTTATTTTGGGGGGGCTATTAGAATTGGCCCCCCCTTGTTGCGCTTATGTGGCCTGGGCTTTTAAAATCAGAGTATGGGGGTCAGGGCTGGGATGAATTGAAATATTTGTGGACACTGGATGACCAAAAGGACTACTCTCCATTATATGTTTCAATAACTAGGTAATAAGTACAAAATAAAATTAATTGAATACGTTCTAAAGTTGCTCCAAATAGCTCGACATTAACCGAGTATTTTTAAAAAACATGAACCTAAAAAAAAATCATTAAATTGTTTTTTTAAAAAATCCTTTCATCTGCATGTGTTGCCTACAAGTGTGTCTTACAAGTGGGAAAGATATCACTTTTTCATTCAGTAGCCCGTTCAGTAGTTATCATTATAGGCTTCAATAGTTTTTAAAAAATATTAATCACTCTAATATTAAAACTAACAAAGATTAAAGATTACATTTAAAATTTAATTAAGATCTGCTGAAATTGATACCTACTTGCAAGACGGGAGAATACATGCTGATAAATCATTAATTAAATATGTATTAAATCATTAATAGCTACTTATTACTTTTACAATCTACATCCAATCATACTTCCAAGTTGTGATCACAGTCTTATTGTGTCAACTTTGCATCATATACTATGAATGGGTCCACCTCCCGATAATTTTGAGCACATATTAATGGCAAGTCTCTGACTCTGATAGATGTGAGAAGAGAAATGTCTCATATTTATCTATGCGAATTGGTATGTATCAATAAAAACGTCAGAGACTCGTTGATCGCTTATATGTGCTTCAAATTGTTTACACGAGTTAGTGTCACAGGGCTGTATCAAGGGACAACTTATGGGGAAGCAAACATAAATATGACGCCCCTAATTCAGTATACGCCTTTTTTTTACAACTAAATAACCAAAAAAAAATTTATCGCTACGCTCTAACAAACATTATACAATATACTTACAAAAAAAACTATATTCTTATCTACTCATTAGTTATCTACTACTCCTACACTTAGGCAGGTATTGTATTTTCAATATATTTAAACACATGAACCAGATACAATTTATACAAATTAATAAATTATTACATACACAATATGTCTACGTTTCATTATTAATTTCAAACTCATGTCTCTTATATGGTACCTATACCTATGAATTATTGTAATAATAAACTACTAAGGAAATAGGTATAGGTACTATGTCTAAAATTTTAAATATTATATAACACTAACATTATCCTAAAAATTGACCAAGTTCAAAACTTTCGTTATTTCTTGTACAAATAAATAGTAAAGATACAAATATATAAGAATATAATGGATATTATAATAGAATAACAATCTACATAGTCTCAGTAGTCAGTACTGCAATATAATGGTAGGTGGCAATATCGTATAATTCTGGCAGTTCGGTGCCCCGGCGGCTATTACATGTCAATATATTTAGTGAATAGTGATAATATTAAAAAAAAGTTCGATTAGATATCTTTAATCGTGATTGGTACGTAGGTTGTAAGTACTAGGTATTACGAAAACAAGGTCCATAAACAGCGTTCTCTCTACGATTTTAGATATACCATATACCGACAATAAAATTGACATCGTACTATATAATTTACATTTCTTATATTACAAACGACCTTATCAACTCTTTTTACCACCCCTAA